GACTTGAATTTCCTATAAAACAGCCATATAGTATCCCCAAACTTCAATCAAAGAAACCAGAACGTAAATACACCATAAATCCAGTCACGTCAAGATAATAAAAATTAAAAAAGACAACATATAGCTGAACAGAATATTCAAGCTAACTATAAGAACTGAAAGCAATCACCAATTACCATTTAAAGAAATACCCAGATCAGAAACAAATTCAATAGAAATATACAAATTATAAAATCCTTAAAAAAGAGGTGTTTATGAAGGAGAACGAACCCGAGGGATGTGAAGGCTCCTTAACTTTTTTGGCTAAGCCACTAGCCAAAGCTGAAGAGGAATCGGACACGACTTCCTTCACCAGGTAAACATAGGCGAACCCACCTTCACCGAGTTGCCTTACGATCCTGAACCTGCTGTCGTTGATCCAGACGTCCCCTCCTCCATGAACAGCCATGCATTCAAACCTGAAATTTAACACCCCATTGTTGTTCCGTTTTGCCTTAAACTCGTGGAAAAAATATTTAGATCCTCAAGTTCTCATCCTTTTTTTTTCCTGTTCGGGGGGTTTGTTAGAATTAGGAAATGTTCGGTTAACCGTTAACCCCTTTCCTCTCTCTTAAGTAAGTTTCTTCCCAATGAAGAAATGAACCTCACTCCCCATCCCAAAACTTTTAAAAGCTCTCATAATTTTTTGTTTTAACAAGATTAGATCTTTTTTTATTAGCTATTATCCATAACTGTGCTTTCATTATTATCGGTTTCCCTTTATTCTTTGAATGAATATTGAAGGAATTGTTTTTGTTGTAGAATCAGCTAAGTGAAGAAGCATAAACATTAAAAGGAAGATGGCTAGAGAAATTTGTGATGATAAATCAAAGAATAATATTATCGTCAGCTGGATTTTGTTACTCGGATGTTTCATCTGGTAACTCAACCATGAGCTTTGAATCCAACCCTGAGCTCTTCAAATTGACAACAGGCATGGAGATGGTAGGTTTCTTCAACAAAAACGAAAGTTGCAGGTCCATCTTCCAAGGCAGTAAATGAGTCGACGACTGAGTTCTGTTAACACGATGAGTTCCACAAACTCGAGTTCACAACAGCGTTATCTGAAAATCGGTATTGAGAATCTCTAGGAAGCACGGGATGCCATCGGTGTGCTGTTTCAAGTACCCGATACGTCCCCGGCACGGGAACGATACGGGGACGGTTGGGGTACGTACCGGGGACGTGTCACGGGAACGTTTCACTGAGAGCTGAGGATGTTTCGGGTACGGCTGGAGACTTTCACATGCGTCCGTTCTCTTTTTTTCATTTTACATTTAAAAATAATTCCAATCGCATAACCTAATTTCACAGCTATTTAATTCCCTCTTTCTTCTCTCGATTCTTATCGTCTCTCAACTCTCAACACTAAATTTGTGCTGCTGAAGTGAAACTTCCAGGTTTTAAAGTTTCAGTTGGCTAGTTAAGTTCTCCGATTTCTTTTCTCTCTTTGTGCTTCTCTCATCTTGTTTCTATCTGAAATTGATGATAAAAAACATGCTCAAGTGTTTCACGAATAGAATTCTGCTCGCTTTTAATGAATCAAACCATAAAACTTTCTCGAACACAATCCTTTCATCGAGCAGGACTGTAAACTTTTAAAGGAAGCTACAACTATTTCCCTGTGTCTCCATACGTGTTAGTTTCTCATTTCTTTTATGTTATTTTCATGTGCTTTTCTTTCCTTGATAATTGTTGATTTGAGTTTTCTTATTTTTCTGTTGTATTTGGATGATTATTTTATTCTGGGTTATTTTTTCTTTTTGGGTTTTTTCATCTAAGGTTCACTATTTTGCAATTTATTTGATTAGTTCTATTGTGTCAGATATGTCTTTCTCGATGTCTTATATTCATTAAACTATACGTTCCAGATGTTTTGTATTTGATTTCTACTGAATGCAAAATTTCATATTTTTTTGTCATCCGATTTATAATTCTTTTAAATGTGATTTCATTTTTCTTGCGACCTGGTTGTTCTGGTCAATACTCTTTCATGTTCTGTTTTCACTTCTTTACCTTTGTTGGTCTCATGCATATACGTATGTTGTATGTACATAGTGGTGGTTTGAATTATATGATTGTATAATAGCCAAAGGATATGGCAGACTTATGTAGGAGATTTAGACTGCACTTTGCCGCTCTTAATGGAATCCTGCACTTATGTCTGATTTTATGGCTTGATGATTTGATTTCAACTTGTGTTCTTTCGTTGCGTATGAGCACTGGATAATTCATTGATACGAAATTGCTTACCAGATCTTAGTTTCCTCTTATTTTTCAGTGATTCTATATAACTAGATTTTTTAATATAGCTCCAACCTTATCTGTTTCTTTTAAGAGTTAGGTTTTCAAACTTTAATTCATTGTTTATTTATAATTTTAAAATTATTTTATATGTCGTACCCTTGCCGTCCCCGTACCCTGTAATTTTAAAAATTGTCGTTTCTCGTCCCTGTATCCGTCCCCGTATCCGTATCCATATCCATATCCATATCCATATCCATATCCATATCCATATCCATATCCATATCCATATCCATATCCATATCCATATCCATATCAGGGCAACATAGGAGAATCTAATAGTTGGAACCGAGTCAGCTCCTTGGCAAAAAAACAGGTAGCTTGTTGACGATTCCTAACTAAGAAAAAAACACGTAGATTAAAAGCTTTGAGACCCTAGAACTTCAAATATTTAAGGATGTGGAAACAAAGAAATAAAAACAGAGAGTACCTTTTCGCGATCAAGGGATTTAAAACGAGGGCGAGGGGGCGGAGGCGGACCTCTCGCCGGTGGTCGGAATGGTCTCCCGCCCAGACGCTTTTGTGCTTCTGCTGCTCCCGCCATCACGCTTACAAGGTAATATCGCTCTCTTTCAGCTGAATAAAATACATAACCATATAAATATAAATATACAAAGCATATACATATATGATATATATATATAAACTATTATTTAACATTTACATGAAAACTATATAAAATATATATTTTCTAAATGCATACAATAGACATATACAATAATAGTAAAATACATAATATACTATATACAAAATATATAAGATAATAAAGATATATAGTCTATAGTAATACATAATATAATAATAAATACTAATACATACATAGTAATAATTAATATTAACAACACATGAGAGGTATCAAAATGAATGAACAAGAAACTATGAGCTCAAATAAAATTATAACAGGGACCAAAATGGAATAATATGAAATTAATACACCAAACTTTAAATAAACTAGAGAGCAAAATGAATTGAATCACAAAACACATGTTTAAAATTTAGTAGAAATTAATAAACATGCAATTCACAGACTAAATTGAACAAAATGAAATTGTAAAGCTGAAATACAAATAAACAGAAATCGATAAATAAAACTAACAACCAAGACTAAGATGAACTACGAAGTAAATTAATCTGCTGAATCCCAGCAATCCGGCCCTTCTAAGTCGCACATTGCAAATTGCGTATTTCCGCAAAAGCAAGTAGTAATGTAAACATGCCTAGTCGAGTTCGAGGATTATTAAATTCGATTCGATTTGAAATTTTTAAAATTAAATTTGGCTTGAAAATCAGAAGCTTAAAATTGACAATCTCGACTCGAACTTGAAAAAGCTCAAACTCAAAATATTCTCAAATTTAGCTCGATTAACGCCCAAACTCGAGCTCGAAGTTGAACCTTAAGTAGATGAAAATCTTATATTGTATTTAAATATATATAAATGATTTAATTTAAAATTTTAATATATTATTTTTTTTCAATTTGCTCACGAACTTTTCGAGTCGAATATCAAGTATCTCGTTTTGGCTCGTTAAAAATTCGAGTCGGGTTCAAGCTCGAATCAAGTTCATTCGATTTGAGTGTTGATTGAACTTTGACCGAGTCAATCTCAAGTAACACGTGTTCTGTATTCTCTTATTTACCATCCTAAAAGCAAACATACAATCCTAACATTCCAGCAATTCAGCCTTGTTTCTGAGTGGTGTTTAGCTTGGTATTATATCAATTCGCGGCCAACCGATTGAGATTTAAGGATTTGGGTATTAGAATTTAGGGATTTAGAAGTTTTAGGAATTTAACAAAAGTATAAAAATAAGCAAATTTTAATGGTAAAAGATTTGTTTTTATTACTTAGGTGTTGGGATTGAAAATCTTGTATACCAAAGGTATGAACATTCGTTGTTAATTGATATAGAATATTTGAACATATATTATTTTGTATTCACTCCATATTTATCAATAAAAATAAGCCATTTTTTTAGAATTTAGATAAATTTTAGGGATTTTTAGAAAAATAATTATTTTTTATTTTTTATATTTTTTAAAGATATAAACATATCACATATTAAATAACAATTTCTTTTTAACGACTATTACTACGTAGATGCTTAAAAGATTAACTACGTAGATGCTTAAAAGATTAACTAAGAAAACATTAGACACATACTTTAAAAAAAGAATTCTTTAAACACCAAATAATATAATTTGGACATTTATGTATTTTATTGAGCCTATTCTCGAAGATTAAAGTATTTTTAAGATCCAGGTGCAGACAACAATTTCCGCCTTCGCCAATTCCATTAGCGACTCGGATGTTGCAAACCCCCAAGTTATGTTTGATCCATAAGTTTTCAATGAACAAACTTGTCCAAAGATTGGATTGATAAACTCGATCCAATTTCTAGCATATATTTTATAAATTCTACGAGTCGCAAACTATAAACAATTTTATAACAATTTTATACATAGTCTTAATATACAAACATAAACGAATTTAGACAAAATTTGAAATGCATATTTTTGAGCAGGATCAGGCTGTGATGTTGGTAGCATATATAAACCAAGCCTCTAACAGGGACGACCAAAGAACACCAATACTTTGATGGCATACCCGATTTCGAATATCAATCTAGATGCTACTTAATTCACAATAAATAATATTTGAAATAAGGCGGAAACTTTACGATTCTTGTTTGCAGATTAAATGTATGTGTAAGAAAAGGAGTTCAATCTAGTTTCAAAACTTCATAAGAGACATAACAGTTTTGGATTTTCATTTGAGAAAAGTACATGCAAGAAACAGGAAAACATACGCTACTAATGAAGTCAACAATTCCAGTGTCCATGTTGGGTGAATTAGAACTGTTGGAATCATTGGAACAAAGATTGAACCACATATCCACCCAGTTGCAAGAGCGCCGAGTCTGCCATGCAACAATCCAGTGAAAAATGATCGGACTAAGAAAGGAAAATGTAACACATGATAAAGAGAACTGGAAGAAAAAAAAAAGTTGCAAAATTGATTGCCTACCCGATAACAAATGCCCGACCCAAGCTCTTTGTTTTTTCATTAAGGAAATATATGCAGGCTGCTAAAGATACAGCTACCTGCATATACCAATAACAATAAAAGAAGAATTAAGAATATTTGTAGAGTATAACGACTGAAGAAAAGGAAGCTTCAAAAGATGCAAACATGAAAATTTACACAAGTTTGAACGTGACCTATTTAATCATTTTTTTTATACAATGCCTAGACTACCCAGGCATCTCCCTGCCATTAAATTGATGCCGATCAAGCTAAACTCAATCCACCTCTTTAATCCTTTTTTATTTATTCTAGTTACTACCATTACTATTATTCTTTCATTTTTCCTTTTTTGGGAGGTAGCTTCAACAACTAGTCAACAAAACCATGATACCGAAGATTTTTCAAGCTTCAAAAGAACAGAGAGAACAGATTCATATTGAAGTATGAACTAGTTTCCGTCAAGGTAAGTATCAGGGATTAACTTGAAGCCTTTGTTAACCAAACTCAGGTAAGTGCAAGTTACTATTAACTCTTACTGAGGAAATGCTTAATTTTTTTGCTTTTAAGGTTTTTCCATATATTTGGATAATCATATGTCTACTGTCATTTTCTATCAAAAAAAAAATATGTCTACAGTCATGTCCAGATATATGTCCGATATGAGTATCAGACAAGGGTACTTTGGAGAAAATGAAGAACTGCAGCAACATAGCTTGAAACAGATTTAAAAGATTTAAACAAGTATATGACACTTGCATCACAGTAAAGCAGCTGACCTTGCCATATCACAGTGTGAGAGACTGGGAGTGAAAACTTATATTTTCCAATCAACACATTAAAATGTGTGAAATTAATATTTTACCTAGATAATGCTGGTTTTATGCGAGGTTTTGATTTGGTAATCATTAAGGTGAAGGCAATGAAAAAAAAATGTAACGAACCTGAAAGGCAGGTCCACCCTCAGAAGAATTCATTATACTCCAGCCACCCATGAAGGCAAATAGGAACAATCTTCGAAAAATAACTTCTACTGGAGGAAGTTCGACAAAATTGAGCAAGTTTTTAATCCAAGGCGGAGATTCCTCTACTTTCTTCTTTAGTCGACTTTTCAAGTTGATCTTGGTTTTCTTTCTATGCTGAAAGCTGGCCATAAGTAGTTTCTCAAAAGCAGCTTCAATTGATTCTTCACTTCTCTCATGTCCAGCATATTGTTGTAAGAGAAAATTGCGTGCTGACCAAATTTCCTCCTCTGAAGCATAGGGACTAATACCAAGCCGTTTATAGGGATCCCAAACTCTAACTCGAGGAAAACTCGGAGCATTCCCTAAAGAGAAAGGGAAAAAACACATTTGAAATTCATTCATAAATAATATGAAGTCGCTGCATCAATTTACCATATCTTGTAATAGTCAAGGATGGTCCACATCGGGAAACAATGAAACATTTACAATATCATAAATAAAGCCCAACAGAGGGAGCTGGAATGAAAGAAAAACAGAGAGATAAGTAATGACCATAGGAGCAATGCAGTCAACTATGGAATGATTGTGGTGCAAAGTTATTAGCAAAGGTAAGGGATCAAAGATCAAAATGCAGCTCCGTCATTTGGTTAATAGACTTTTCCAGATTTTCGTCATAAATAAAAGTCTGAGTGCGCACAACAAAAATCATCAACCTATGCATTGACAGGAAATAAATTATTTTGTTCCAAACAATTGTCCTTCCTTCTTATAGATCACTCAACCCATCAGCCACATCTCTAGCCAAAGATTATAACTTGAAATTGTAAAAGTTGATAAACTGGCCAGCCTATTTCTACAGGAAAAAGATGATGTCAAACTATTCTACTCGTAAAGGTGTGTGTCACATACGGTTAGGGAAGGGCGCATGATTTTATGCTAGGTGGCGAACTTATAATATTTTAGGGGGACGAAAACAGATTATCAACAGAAATACAAAAGAATTTGTTTCCTTGGAGGATAATATTCCCCTACCAATGCCCAACAAATGGTGTTGGACGCATGTACTTAAAAGCTAAATGAAGGGTGGGAGCAACATATCTCTCAAATTTTTACAAGAACAATCAGATACTATCTATCTATATAAGATTCAAACATAATCTTACAACAATCTTGCTGATATACGATTTAAGTCCAAAAGGGCATTTTCAATGCTGGGTATATTTACACTAAATCAGAAAAGAAAAAAAATGAGCTAAAGTGATACGAAAGAATGTTGGCAGAAATTAAGTACTAACAAATTGAGAATTCCAAAATAATTCAGAAAAAATGGGACACGAGAAGCATCAGTAAGCAAAAATTACCTCCGGAAGGCATATCCACGGCACATCTAGGGCTTTTATGTCTTCTAAAAACGGGAAAATAATATATCCCATTCTTCGTATTCTGATTTTGACGACTGTACAACAAATAATTAAAAAAAATCGTAACCTAATTTTAAATAAATTCTTAGCTTTCAAAAACAAAGAAAGAATTAAACTCTTACAGTTTGTGGCCAACGAAAAGAATGGAAAGGGAAGGATTGGAGAGCGACGTAGACGACATTGAAATTGCTTAATTTGATGAAATTGTGGTGAAGCTAAGTTGAGAGGCTCTCCAGCATCAGAAATGCCTTTGTTTGGGGATAGCTGCTAGAGGGGGCAGAAGAGGAACTAGGTTTTCTGGATTTTGTGTATTTATTAGCGGACAAGCCAAAGACCCAAACATATAGAAACCGGGCCGTATTAATGGTGGGTTTCGGTTACGGTCCAAATTTGAAAAACTTTGAGGATTTATTAGTATTATGGATAGGCACATGAACCGAACCCGATGAGTTAGATCCGACCGATTCAATCAGGTCCGGATTTTTAAAAAATTAAGGTTTGATTTGGAACAAAATTTTTAGATGATATATTTGGGTCTAGTCGGGTTCAGATTAAGAGTGAAAAATATGTGACCGATCTGACTCGAAAAATAATATAATTACACATTATATATTTAGAAATAATTGTAATAATAACCCTCTTTATATTATTTTTTTAATTAAGCCCCTATTTTATTGAACAATATTAATAATTTTCTATTATTTTGAGCCGGGTCAAGTCAGAGTCAGTTTTATCTAAAAAATCAGGTAGGATTTCGAGTCGGGTGAAATTACCTTAAGCTCGGGTCGAGTCAGATTTCGGGTAAAGGGTATAAAATTTTCGGATCGGGTCTGGTTGGCCCAAAACCCGACCCATGCCCATCCCTAGTATTAAGGGACTTGTTATTATCCCTTAGAGGGTGTTTAGATCAAGGAATGTGGGATTCTCATATGAATGAAATCCACATTCCCATGTTTGGTTGGCCGGGAATCTCATTCCCGATGATATTTTATTATTAATAGTAGATTTTTTTGAGTATATTACTGGGAATGTCATTACCTCCCTTTCCTTAGGTATTGTTGGATTACCGCGTTTTGGACTAAAATGCCCTTAAATCTTTTTTTCTTTCAAAAATATCATTATTCTGTCATTGAATAATAAAAATTATACGAATGTTAAATTACAAATTTATCCTTAAACTATTTTAGATTTACAAAAAAAATCTATAATTAAAATTTTATATGAAATCCAGGGGTTAAAATAAAAATTTTCCCCTTCATTAAACCTTTTTATATTTTCAATTTTGTAAAATATATATATAAAAAATTTATGAATTTAAATTTTTCAAAGAAAATATATAAATATTTTTCAACTTGTTAAAAAAAACAAATATATAATAAGGATAATTTGGTCAAATATACGTTCCAATAATATTTAATTCTTTTAACCAAACATGGTAATCTTACATTCATGCTAAACCAACCAAACACAAAATACAACATTCTCAGTAATCTTATTCCCTGGTAATCTTACATTCCGTGAACCAAACGCACCGTTAAGGTCTTGGGTTCGTGCACTGCATATACAGTGGTATGAGCGTTTACTGTCAAAGGATTTTGTCCTAGAACAAATACTACCATGTATTTACTCTAGATCTATCAAAAAAATTATTCAAAAATTAAAATTTTATTAAAATAAAATATTTTAAGATTAAAAATGTCATATCTTCAAACAGATTAAACTACTCTGTACCGCAAGAGCTTGGTCCAAAAAAAAAAATAGGTTATAACGTTAACATGAGGTGTGTGTTAAGAATATTCAACATTTGTTCTCCTTAATCAAGAGAATATCATAAAATAGCTTGACCTAATCGTCTAAACGTTACAAAGCTTTAATGGTTATTCTTTTGCTATTATTGGATACAGTTTTGAATGTTGCAATTATTGTTTAAAATGATACAATTGTTACATTTAATTGCACGTGTAATTGTTGTCTTTTCCTTCAAAAAAAAAATTAAATGGTACCCACCCATTATAATAGTAATTCAAACATCTCAAATTGTGTAATTAAAAGATATAATATTCAAACATGACTACTTCGTGTATTCCAAACACATCATTAATAATTGAATTTAAATACACATTTTTAATTATATTTATAGTATCTTTGGATAATCATTTTAATTAACTAGCTCACCAAATTAAGAGCAATTATTACACATAATTATATTTTTTATTAAATAAAGAGATAATTACATTTCAAAAGTAAATGTAGAGATCCAAACTCACAAAATATAAGATAATAATAACATCTTTGACCATTCATTCAACTAGTGGATCTTTATAATTACATTTTTCAACTCTTGTAAAGCTTCAAAATAAGAGAATTATACATGTACTTTAATGAATTTTAATTATCGATTGATGTCCGATTGTACCCATAAAAAATAAATGGCTTAATATAAAAAATATCCAAACTATATTCTTCTTATTTAGGTGTTTAACGTTTCTGATATTATCATTTAGGTGTCTAACGTTTCTGATATTATCATTTAGGTGCATTAACCGTAATAGTTATTAAAAAAATTCGTCAACCACTCAGAATGTGACACTTGGTGTCTTTATAAATTTTAAAAAAAAAATTTAAAAAACTTAAAATTATTATTCTTATTTTTCAAAAAAACTCAGTATTTTTAAAATCTAAAAAAAAAATCCAAAATCATTAATCTCAAAGCATCAACCCCACTCGTCGGGCGTCATCTGCCGCCCCCACCAAGCCGTCTACCCACCCATCATTGATTGTCAACCGTAGCTTCAAACCCCCCAAATCTTTAAATCTAAATTCCTAAATCCCAACACATATCTATCCCAATCAATGTAGGATGGTCGACTTGTGAGTAGTCGAAGGGTGTCACCGACGATGATGATGGCCTGCGGGTGAACTGAAGGTCTTGAGGTATTTTATGAAAAATAAGAAAAAGTTAGGATTTTTTTTGAAAATCTATAAATTTTATTTTGTAAAAAATCAAACCATGTGTTAAATAATGATTGATTGTCTTATTTTTAATGATTTTTAACGACTGTTACGTCGTAGGCTCCTAAATAATAACATTGAAAATGTTAGTCACCTAATGAAAAAAAATAGTTTAGACACCTAAATGAAAAAAAGATAAATAGTATGAACACTTATTTTTATATTAAGTCAAAATAAAATAATAATAATAACATATTTAAATATAATTATCTCTAAAAAGTGATTGATATATTTGGTTTATTTATTTTGATAGGTGTAAAAGAGTAAGATATATAAGAGTGAAAAAGTAAATATAAGTGTTGTTATTTGTTAATTTTTTTAATAAGACATTTTGAAAGGGATAATTTTAAAAATCAAAAGAGATATTTAGTTGGATAGAGGGAGTATTAAATTTAAAAAAACTGCTCATATCCTAAAAAAAAATCTAATCATATTTTTCTTATACAAATGTATATTTTTCCTTTAATTTTTCGTTGTAAAAATATATTATTATAAAATTAAAATATTTAATTAATTTTTTATATAAAAACTTTAATTTAATATATATTTATATTATTTTTTATAAATCTAATGTTAACACAATATAGTATTTATTTAATCAATCATTTAACAATAAAAACTAAAATCACCGATGTCGCCTTGTTAAAATATATATTTAAAGTATTCTCTACCTGATAAAAAAATATTAAATCGATTACATTGCAAAATACCATGGTTAAAATGTCAGAACCTTTCCATTCACAACAAAGTATTCATGGTATAAAAGTTCTATAATTTTACATGTAATCTCTTCTGCAATTATAGTTTAGAATTATGGTCCAACTGCTTCCTCAAAACCCTTCTCATCACCTTATTACTAGCTGTTCTTGGAAGAGACGACATTGCCACAACACGAGAAACCTGCAAATTTATTACTTTTGTAAGATCAACAATGAAATACATATGAAAAACGAAGGAATCCAAAACACAGCTGCAACTTACCTTGAACAATGGGTTGAAATTCTTTTGGACTGCTGAGTTAAAGGATATTCTCAATTGATGCAAGTCTGTTTTTGAGTTCTGGGGATCCTTGAACACTACTGCAATTACCAGTTGCTCGGGGCCGCCACCTGCTAGCGGCACCCCAATGGCGGCTGTCTCAAGTACACTGCTATCTGCTGCATTGCAGATGCGTTCAATCTCAACCGAACTGACCTGTTCAACCGATTAGCCAGTTGAGCATCATGATTGCAGAGACTGGTAAGACATTTTTCTAGAAAGACAACCGTGAAAACGAGCTCCAGCCACACAAAACACGACAATGCTTCATAACGGTGCGATGCAACAAAAAAATTCTCAGCCCCCAGTGAAAATAATTATATCTAGGTTATTAATCAATACATGTAATATCTGAGACTTGGAGGTATGCAAGAGTGACGATCAACCAAATCCCCCAGTGAACTATGGAGATTGTTTAATTGGTGAAAATAAATGGGGAATCTGTATATAGTTGGAATACTTAAACCTCAAACCAAAAGGTTATATTCCATACTATCAAACAAATACCTTGATACCCCCGATGTTCATTGTATCGTCAGCACGACCGTGTGCGCGATAGTATCCTCTAGAGGTGCGCTCAAAGACATCCCCATGTTTTCGGAGAACCTGCAAAGGTAAATTCAGACACAAAGGTTTTACTTGCAAGAAAATACAATAAAATGCAGGCATGTAAGGTAATGATAATTCGTTTATATATTATCCAAACTCTTCACTTTCTGCATTCGTATTCCACGTGTATGTCACATTCAGGTGTAAATATGGGGGTATAATACTCCAAACATAGATTGGTTTTATCCTTTACATTTCCAAAATCCATTAACTATAAAGTACATGTACAATCAGAGCATTTTCTCATTGCACTGGGTCAAGCATTTCAAATAATCTTGCACCATTAAGACTACATTAGAACTACAAATCAAACAGAAGATAATGCAACCAAAATAAAATTTTAAAAAAAATGTTGAGAAGTACAAATTTCTCACCAGTCCATTCCATGTAGCCATTCCTTTAAAGTAAACATCGTAGTGACAGGCATTTAGCAGTGTGCTTGAAGAACCAAACATAAGAGGGCTTAGAGCCAGTTCTCCCATCCCCGGAGCATCCTCAGGCTTAAAATTAAACAAAGTTCAAGAAATTAGTTGCATTTTATTTTACATTTGTACTTAAACACTTATACTTCCCCATAAAATACTTCATTAACTAGTAATTCATTAACGAGGGTTGGATTGGCGCTTACAATAGGAT